CTGTTCTGTCGGTCAAACATTACACCAATAAATTAATGAATAAAAAAGTAAACTGTGTCCATAAATTTGTTTACATGTATATATTGATTTTTTTTTTAATCGCGTAGGTGGGGCTCGGTCTTTATCATAATGATGAAGCGAAGGCATCTACGTGAGAATTTCCTCAATATAATTTATTCGGATATTTCGAGAAAATTCTTCATTCCAACGACAATATCTCATGGGGGGGGGGGACGAAAATCTTGAATGTTGACTTTGGAGGTGTAGGGATGTCGCGTGGTCTGGTGGATTCGTCACCTGTCTGTGGACCACATGGTTCGCGGTTCAAGTCCCGCAGAGCCCCTTCTGACACCTTTGATAGATGTCTCTATTAAAATCTGATAGGTGCCCCTTTTCCTCCGACAAGTGCCCACTTTACTTTGTAATAAGTGCCCCTTTCCATTCTCACAATTGTCCCTATTCATCTCAGGTGAGTACCCATTGCCAGGTAAAAGAAGTGACCCTTACCATCTCTGATAAGTGTTCCTAAACCTGTTATAAGGGCCTCTTTTCCTTTCTATGCCCTCTTTTCATTTTTATAAGTGTCCCTTTTCATCTCAGATGAGTGTCCTTATTCAAATTGTAAAGGTATACAATTTAACCCTGTAATTAGTGCCCTTTTTATTTTGACACGCACCCCTTATCCTTTCTAGTTAGTGCCATTTTCCCTTTGATAATTGTACCTTTTTCTTTGTAATAGGTGCCCTTATTCTGTCCTCATAAGTACCTTTCCCGGCATCTCTGCTGACCGCTCCTTATCAGGTGCGAGAGGTGCCATACTTTCATCTCACATAATTCACCTGTTACTTTGAGTGCCCTTTTTTCTTTTCTAATAAAATAAATGTCCTTTTTCTTTGGATATGTGCCCATTTTTACATTCATCAAAAAATGTGCACCTAATTTAAAACGGCTATTAAAGACCAACTTTTCTTTAATTTCACTCAAATTTGATATAACTATGTTTTGGGGGGATAAAAGATCTTTTCGGTCTTTCCTAATTAGGTTGTGCACAAAAAATCCATCAAGATTGTTTTGTCCTCTTTTTCGCACTGCAACCTCACAAATCTTAATATGTTTGCTCGCTCATTTCACCCGCTGGCAAATAAACATTCAGACCATCACACACGAAACTCAAAGTATGATGATTAACAGTATCCTGGACAATGTAAAGAGAATAACAAACAAAATCATCCCTGATAAATCAACAACAACAAAAATCATATATATATACCAATGTCTAAAAATGCTATATTTTTCGCTTTGAGATTCCCCTTTGTAGGTGCCCCTTTTTCCAGAAAGTGCCTTTTTTTTGTTGGTCACCCCTCCCCACCTTTAAAGACCCCCGCTGCCCCTGACTGAAAAGACGGAAGTTCAGGAATCCTCTCTTTCCGACTGGTATTGAGATTACCAACTGACAGTCCTAATATGAAAATGAAAGGGATATATTTTACCTCAACTGAATACAATGGTGTTAGAGCCTACAACGAAAAAAATCTTTGATTTTACTCTATAGGCTCTCTCATATCCTCAATTCAATGTCAACGTACTATTGACTTTACAATTTCTACAAAATACCAATTGATTTAATACATTCTATGATTCATTTTTATTCAAAAGATCTCTGCCTGATTTCTGACAGTATATTTCGAGTACATATAACTGATATGTAAGATGAAATATGATTTTTTAAATTTTTAAAAAAATAAATTAAAAAAACTGAACCTTTTCAGCAGGTCTTTTGTAAGCATACCCTCTCTTTTTGTCGATTACAATTCGAATTTAGAAGAATCTAAGAAGAACCATATAATCCTCATCTTGTATGTCTTAATTAAAAAAACTATTGCAGATTTTCAAAATTCAGATTTCGCTGAAAATTGTGAAACCGAACTTGACAGAAAATCTTTAAATATTGACAAACATTGGTCATTAAACATTTCATAAGCCAAAGACCTTACATAAACATACAAAGCAACAAAGAAACTCAGTATTAAACAGAAACAGGGGCGTACGCAGGGGGGGGGGTTGGGGGTTCAAACCCCCCCCCCTTTGGTATTTTAATGTATGTAAACCCCCCTAAAAAAAACTAAACCCCCCCCCCCCCCCCCCCCCCCCCCCCCCATTTGGCTTTTTTTTTTTTTTTTTTTTTTTTTTTTTTTTATCAAAAAAAAAAAAAAAAAATATATATATACCCACGGCTAAACTAAATAAGATGACCTTACCCCCCCCCCAACGAAAAAAAATGTCAAATTTTGAAATTTTGAGACCAAAAAAAAAAAAGTGTCCCCCCCCCCCCCCCCCCCCCCCCCCCCCCCCCCCCCCCCCCCCCCCCCCCCCCCCCCCCCCCACTGAGCGACTTTTCGGCCGGCGCGATTTTCAAAATTTCGAGAGCAAAATATTTTAAAACCCCCCCCCCCCCCCCCTTGAAAAAATCCTGCGTACGCCCCTGAACAGAAAAGATTTACATCAGCTATGAGGGTTTATACCATGGTAACTGTTTGTCATGATGCACTATTTTACATTCCGCATAATGCAATATCAGGTGCGAGAGGTGCCATACTTTCATCTCACATAATTCACCTGTTACTTTGAGTGCCCTTTTTTCTTTTGTAATAAAATAAATGTCCTTTTTCTTTGGATATGTGCCCATTTTTACATTCATCAAAAAATGTGCACCTAATTTAAAACGGCTATTAAAGACCAACTTTTCTTTAATTTCACTCAAATTTGATATAACTATGTTTTTGGGGGATAAAAGATCTTTTCGGTCTTTCCTAATTAGGTTGTGCACAAAAAATCCATCAAGATTGTTTTGTCCTCTTTTTCGCACTGCAACCTCACAAATCTTAATATGTTTGCTCGCTCATTTCACTCGCTGGCAAATAAACATTCAGACCATCACACACCAAACTCAAAGTATGATGATTAACAGTATCCTGGACAATGTAAAGAGAATAACAAACAAAATCATCCCTGATAAATCAACAACAACAAAAATCATATATATATATATACCAATGTCTCAAAATGCTATATTTTTCGCTTTGAGATTCCCCTTTGTAGGTGCCCCTTTTTCCAGAAAGTGCCTTTTTTTTGTTGGTCACCCCTCCCCACCTTTAAAGACCCCCGCTGCCCCTGACTGAAAAGACGGAAGTTCAGGAATCCTCTCTTTCCGACTGGTATTGAGATTACCAACTGACAGTCCTAATATGAAAATGAAAGGGATATATTTTACCTCAACTGAATACAATGGTGTTAGAGCCTACAACGAAAAAAATCTTTGATTTTACTCTATAGGCTCTCTCATATCCTCAATTCAATGTCAACGTACTATTGACTTTACAATTTCTACAAAATACCAATTGATTTAATACATTCTATGATTCATTTTTATTCAAAAGATCTCTGCCTGATTTCTGACAGTATATTTCGAGTACATATAACTGATATGTAAGATGAAATATGATTTTTAAAATTTTTAAAAATAAATTAAAAAAACTGAACCTTTTCAGCAGGTCTTTTGTAAGCATACCCTCTCTTTTTGTCGATTACAATTCGAATTTAGAAGAATCTAAGAAGAACCATATAATCCTCATCTTGTATGTCTTAATTAAAAAAACTATTGCAGATTTTCAAAATTCAGATTTCGCTGAAAATTGTGAAACCGAACTTGACAGAAAATCTTTAAATATTGACAAACATTGGTCATTAAACATTTCATAAGCCATAGACCTTACATAAACATACAAAGCAACAAAGAAACTCAGTATTAAACAGAAACAGGGGCGTACGCAGGGGGGGGGGTTTGGGGGTTCAAACCCCCCCCCCTTTGGTATTTTAATGTATGTAAACCCCCCTAAAAAAACTAAAACCCCCCCCCCCCCCCCCCCCCATTTGGCTTTTTTTTTTTTTTTTTTTTTTTTTTTTTTTTTTTATTATCAAAAAAAAAAAAAAAAAAAATATATACCCACGGCTAACCTAAATAAGATGACCTTACCCCCCCCCCCCCAACGAAAAAAAATGTCAAATTTTGAAATTTTGAGACCAAAAAAAAAAAAAGTGTCCGCTTCCCCCCCCCCCCCCCCCCCCACTGAGCGACTTTTTGGCCGGCGCGATTTTCAAATTTTCGAGAGCAAAATATTTTAAAACCCCCCCCCCCCCCCTTCAAAAACTATACTATAATAATTATTCTTATTATCATTATCATTATAATTATTATTATTTTCTTTTGGAGATTATGATGATCGTTTATCAACATCGTCGTCATCACTATGATTATTTACCTCCACAGTGCATTCAGGAAAACACATAGAAAATATTCTTTCGCTTACAAATAGGATTTTCGTCTTTGGAAGGGATTTTTATTTGTTTATTTATTTATTATTTATTCGGCAATTCACAAAAAAATATAACAATGTAAACATAAGTAAACAAACATTAAGAGAAAGTCAATTATAAATGCACAATCTTCCTGGAGGTCCTCTGAGTGCATCAGTTGGTTGCCGGGGAAGAGGAAAGCAAACTAAATCACTGTAACCGTAATGGTCCCTCTTAATGGTCCCTCCCTATAACATTTCATAAACAAACCAGGTGACAAAAACAAAGCACAAGGAGGAAATCATATTAATATGTATGATGACACTACGTCATGACACGATCAATCAAATTATTTCATTGCCAAATATGGAAGCATGAACATAGACGGAAACGGTTACTTTTATTCTAAAATTAGACTGGGTAATATAGCAAATTTATTATTTGAAACTGTAAGTAGAAGATTCATGTCAACAATCCCAGGAAACAAAACTGGAGATTCAAGGTTTGTTTAAGGTCATTTCAGCGCGAGACACGGCAACGTTCATTTCTCTTCCAGTCTATGTTCATGAACATACATTTTGAAATACAATCATAAACGAATAGCATCTGTTACTGACATCAAACTCCGATCAATTTGTTGATTTAAAATGAAATTCGCCTCCGAGGAGACAGTGTTCATTACTATCATCATTGCAGCCATCGTGTCTTTGCAAGGGGGTAAGAATACTTAGAAACAATATCACGTTCGTCATAAAAACGCATCACATTTTTGTTCTGTTTTAATTTGTTTTGTGTGCTTTATTCAAGAACGATTGCATAGTTTCAGGGTACTTTTAATAGACAGACCGAATACCATGTTACAAACCTTGATGTATCCACTGTTACGGGCATTTGTTCTTTTTATTCTCAGTTTGATTATCTTTTTTCATCTTGGGAAACGGAGGTGCCGGGGACGCTGCAGCACCCTCTCTCATTTTTTGTTTATCGGGGGTGCACTTCATCCCCTGTATTGGATGGTGAATGGGTGCTGCTGCAACGGGAGCTGTCTACTGAGTTTGGAGTGAAAGGGCACCCAGAAATGTAAAGACCTTATTTTCGTGAAAAGCCATCTTTCAGCGCCCTGTTAAAATGGAGGGGGGGGGGATCAGTTGCAATTAGACGTACCATGGGGTGCTGTTAACTATATCTGCTGTTTCAACATTCCGCTGCGTCAGGTATTCAAATAGAATTGCGCGGAGGAATCAGCCGCCTTATAATTTCGAAACTGTCACTATCATATCATTATACAGTAAGAAGTCAGTCATCCTCTCCTGAATGGCACCGACTGGATGACGCAGTCTATCTAGTGGATAACATCACCCTAGAAGGGTACGATGAGGCGCAGGCTCGCTGTCGAGGTTACGGAGCGAATCTAGCAAGGATTGACTCAGACGAGATCCAGGTATTAAATCGATTCAAATAATGGTCAGCTAATAATCACAATAATTTGTTTAACTTGTAGCGTGATAGATATACAGTTTTAACTTGGTCTAGGTTGTGTTCATGTTTTTTCATTTAACATCTGCTTCCAGAGCAACAGTGTTGCTCTGGAAGCGTCACTTGCTGACGTAGAAATAGCTGCGTCGGCGGCTTACACTGTGACACAGTCTTTGACGCAAAATGACAGGGTGAGAATTATAGTAAACAATAAATGCAAAATGAACGGTACCCTGTTAATAATTGCCTTGTTACTAGGGCATGCGGTAATACGAGGATTGCGCAATATGAATTGCGTCATTACCTACGCTGAAAGAGCCCATGAAGGCAGATAGTGTATGGGCGAGTAATATAATGCCATCTATGCACGATTTTACTCCTTGAAGTCACCCTCATAGGAAGTCCAAACACTGCGCCAATCGATTACGCAATCTAACGTCAACAAAGACGCATCATGTCCAAGGAGTAATATACATTTAATAGAAAAACTTTTGTTAAATGTTTTTTTATCAATACCATGTTTTCTCAGTCCAATATAACTTTTCTTGGTGAATATTATTCCAGATAATTGGTCTTAGGAATGGGAATTAAGTCGAATGTTTTTTTTCTTCAATATCAATGTAGAATTTCTTGACATCCTTCATCCCTGTGCCCGATACTCGAGGAGAATGGTGCTTTTGGATTGGTTGCAATGACAGAGAGGTCGAGGGTCAATTCAGATGGCTTGACGGCACACCAGTGATGTAAGCACTATTATCACGATTTCGACATTAAAATAAGTGCATTTCTTTGATTAAATTGGTAGGACTAATTCAGTTCGTTTGACAATTATTGGTCATTAGACATTGGATATCTACATGTATGTGTAACAATGAATTTGTCAAAATTAATGAGGAATGCACGTTTCTAGATTTTTTTTTCTCTTATCCTCAAGCGAGGTTTTTATTTCCATAATAGCAATACATATTTACATTAATAACTCAATGATGGAATGAAACATAACATAGGCTAACATACGTTTCTAGATTGATCTCAATTAAAATACCATCAAACACAAAACTTTCCAAAATCGTTAAAACGTTTATGATTTTATTGTTATTTTTGTCCTATAAACTATTATTTAATCGGCATTATAAGATGGGAAGAAGAATCCCTACAATCTGATTGGTTAATTACAGTGGAGTTATTTTTACTGGATCGGGGATCGATACCACCGATATCCCTTGGTTTTTAATAATTCTTATATTTTTTTTATTTTGGGGGGGATTTTTTTTTTTTTGAAATAGTTATAATTATTTGTTTTCCTTGTTTTTTGATAATTTTGATAATTTTTTGATAATTTTTTTTTTCTATAATTTTTTTAAAAACATTTTTGTTTAATTTTTATTTTTTTAGAGTTTACAGTTTTATGTGCACTGAAAACTTTTTCAAATATTTTTTAAATGTCATGACAAGTTGCACGAAATCATGATTTTCGGTAATTACCGGAAAGCATGGCTGAGGCAAAACCATGCGTCCGGTAATTACCGGACATCATGATTTGCCATGCACCCGGTATATCTGCAAAGTAACGGATTTTGTTATATTTGACGATTTTGGGGGCCCCATTTTTTTAAAAACAGATGATGCACAGATTTCATTCGTGGGTCGGTGGAACTGTGTGCACGCGGAACCTTTGAATTCGGCCTAAAACCATTCAAAGGTACCTTGTGCACAGGGTGAATAGTCTACAAAACCATTAATAGTATTTGCTCACCTTCAAGCCTGGGTATTTCATTGTTATTGTAATTGTCATGCATTTGTTTTGTCTTTGTTTTATATTAGATACGATGGTTGGGCGCCAAAGGAACCGAACAATGATGCAGCTCCTGGAGATGAAAATTGTGCTTGCCTATTGGCGAGCACAATAACAAACAGACATGGAAAATGGAACGATTTGTACTCTACAGCTGACAGAAGCTTGATTTGCCAGAAAGGAATTTGTGAGTCAAATCACATTTATCAATATTCGATAAACACTGTTTATCGAATAGCAGAGTTATTTTTATTTGGTCGGGAGTGAATGCTTTTCCAAATTGCACTCAAAGAGATTCTATCATACATATAGTATGTCCTCCGGAGGAGGACTAGAGGGGAAGCTAAATTGTGACCTTTGACATTCTATAGGTTTGCATGGGATGCATTATTATTTGAACGATTTTGGAGGTCAATGTTTATTCATGAGCAACGCCTTACAAAAGACGCCAATTACTGTTTGTTGATTCGCCATCAATTAAATGTTTTACAGTTCTAATAACAATACATTATGGATAATTATAATGATAAAATCTGATAAACAACAATAATAATGGTATAAAGTAATAGTATTAATAACAAACAATAATGTCATGATAAAAAGTATTCGTAAAACTCAGTAGATACCTGTGCTTTCTAAAGCATGTTGATAATTGAATTAATCATATGGATTTCATTCTAAAATATTCAAATTTCTGGATTTATTAAAGAGAAGCAGGCACCCCCCCCCCCCCCTATTCATGCGTTATTTTCCTTGTCTCGATTTAATATGTTATGTTGCATTTAAAAAGGTCATAGGAGAAAAAAAATATGTTGATAAATGAGTTCATCAATGTTGATAATTTTTTGGTATTTTTTGTGTGTGTAAACCCCCCCTAAACCCCCCCCCCCCCCTTTTTGGATTTTTTTTTTTTTTTTTTTATTTATTAAAAATTTAAAAAAATTAAAATATTTCCATGGCTGACCTAAAAAAGTTGACCTTGCCCCCCCCCCCCTGTTACACCCTCAAATGTAATAACTCCCACAAATGTAATAACGCCCACAAATGTAATGTCGTGGTCGTGGTCGTGGTCGAGTGGTTTAAGGCGCTTGACTTGGAGATGCGAAGGTCGAGGGTTCGAATCCCGACACGGCACTAATATCCTTTGGCAAGATATTAACCTGCACTTGCTACTCTCCACCCAGGTGTTAAATGGGTACCCGGTAGGATGCGACCGTCATTGTTGGTCAAACAGTTTTTGAGCGTCACGTAACGCCTGGCTGGAATGCTCCCCAGGGAGTGGAGATTGTGCACACATTGTGTGCAGGCAAGCACTGAATCCAATGACCGGGGTAATAGTATATTTGTAAAGCGCTTAGAGACATTTGTATTAAGCGCTATATAAATTAAATATTATTAAAATATTATTAATAACACTTTACCCACAAATGTAACAACACCCACAAATGTAATAACACTTTACCCACAAATGTAATAATTTCACCTACAAATGTAATAACCACTTTACCCACAAATGTAATAATTTTGAATCACCCACAAATGTAATAATGACTTTACCCACAAATGTAATAAATTTGAAGTGATATTTTGAATCACCCACAAATGTAATAATGACTTTACCCACAAATGTAATAAATTTGAAGGGATATTTTGTCGAATTTAAAACTAAAACCCTGTAATAAAGCATGGGTTTAGAGCGTAGTTTTTCTTCCAGACCCGGTTATTTCAAAACTTTTTAAAAATCTTCAAAACTAAGACCCCATCATCTTATTCCTGCAGATGAACATAAATATTGAGCGTAGTCTCTCCTCCAGACCCAGTTTTTCAAAAGTTAAAAAACAAACAAAAAACAAAACAAAACAAAACAACAAAAAAAACTTTTAAACTAAGACCCCTCCATCTTCCAAATTTAGACCCGGTAATAAAGCATGGGATTAGAACGTAGTCTTTACTTCAGACTCGGTTATTTTAAAAAAAAAATCTTCAAACTAAGACCTCACCATCTCATTCCTGTGGAATAACATGGGTATAGAGCGTAGTCTTTCCTCCAGACCCGGTTATTTCAAAGGAAATAGAAATTTAAACAAATCTTCGAAACTAAGACCCACCATCTTATTCCTCTTTTTTTTCATTTAAAAATAAATTACATTATTACGTATGTGGATACAACACGTCACAAATAAATGATTGGTCGGCGGTCACACGAACTGACGAATCAGTCAAAATGGTCCATATATATAACACACAGAGGAGGGACCGATTCGATGGTTCGTTGACCGTCGACGATTTCTTAATCATGTAAATATTCTAACGCCCACAAATATCCTGAAATTCATTGTTCGTAGAAAAAAAAGTAATTGAATAAATGACCTTAAATGTATTTAAATATTGACGCTGATTGTTTTATGCATGTGATTATGAAATATGTTCACGATATGTAACATATATTTATATATATATATGTACGCTATTAGTGAAATTAAAACGTTGGATTGCGATGTTATATTTTCATGAGTGCGTGAATGAATTACCTTTCTTCATGTGATGAACGTATCAATTACTTATACTGAAGACTACCAATTGGTACGCGGTACACGGTGTGAATTCATGAGAACGAAATTTATTCAAAGGCAAATACAAACAAAACACATTTATATTACAGTTTTCCCTACTTCTGAAACACTCAAGCAGCTATATAAACAAGAACAAGTCTGAAATGATAATCGGTTAACAAGCAAATAACAACGCATACTTTCATATAACAAATCATAAATAGCTGTATAACGAGATCGCGCGAAAAAATATTTGCATGTTTTGAATGAACGATTGCAGAACCCTTTGACTGATAAAATATCTATATACTCTCTCAATCAATGTGAGTAAATTGCAAAGGTTATGGTTTTATAGTATTAAATGCAATGATGGATACATAGATTTTGTAAGATAGAAAGTATTTTATTCCAAACGAATGAAGAGGTTGTTTCATTAATATACAGACGGTAACAGAACCAAAATAATTATTACGTATAAAAAGGTGGAGTAACTCACATGTCTGTTACAAGCAAACAAGGTTATAATTTGGGCAATATTGAACCTGATAACATCAACTGAACTTGATATAAAACGCAAACAACCTAACACGTGACAATTCTTCTAAGCTAGGAAAAACAAGAGAACAAGATGCCGAAATACTAAATGTACCTGGCTTTCTGTAACTTAGTATTCGTCCATATAAAACTACTTAACACGTACAACTCCAAAAGTTTTTCAGTAATACTTTTCAGATGCTTTAAGAGTAGACGGAGTTGAAATGAAATATGACTGATCAAAAGGAAATAATTATTTTAATTATACAATGAGATAAAGAATATTAACAACCTTTACCTGATCTCTGTTGAAGAGTTTGGCGTTTGCCACTTTTGAGCCATTTTTCAACCTTAAACAGAAATCTGATTAAAGACATACATTGTAAATGCAAAACAAACCATACACTTGTATAAGGATTATAAAAACATGAATATGTTAGTGATTTTAAAAAGCAATAGAGGCATGTAGTTTCCAGATATTTGCTTTAACACTGAGATAACATATTTTATGATATATAGTTCACTCATATGACACATAAATTTTCTTTACAACGGTTTATACACTTATAGTGTAGACAAAAAATCACACATGATTGGTCTGTAATATACTACGTGAGGATTAACCCGTTTAATGCATAATTGTTAGTTTGTTTTTGTTTGTGCGATCTTTTTCAATGAAGATCTTCTAAACACACCAAAAACTTAAGTTTATCCTAATCGAAATAGTGTAACTTTATAACGAAATGGAACTTTCGAAAATAACATGACAAGATTGTACGCTAATTGACTAACTTATGATTTGTTATATGAAAGTATGCGTTCTTATTTGCTTGTTAACCGATTATCATTTCAGGCTTGTTCTTGTTTATATAGCTGCTTGAGTGTTTCAGAACTTAGTAGGGAAAACTGTAATATAAATGTGGTTTGTTTGTATTTGCCTTTGAATAAATTTCGTTCTCATGAATTCACACCGTGAAATGCGTACCAATTGGTAGTCTTCAGTATATGTAATTAATAAGTTCATCACATGAAGAAAGGTAATTCATTCACGCACTCATGAAAATATAACATCGCAATCCAACGTTTTAATTTCACTAATAGCGTACATATATATATAAATATATTTTACATATCGTGAACATATTTCATAATCACATGCATAAAACAATCAGCGTCAATATTTAAATACATTTAAGGTCACTTATTCAATTACTTTTTTTTCTACGAACAATGAATTTCAGGATATTTGTGGGCGTTAGAATATTTACATGATTAAGAAATCGTCGACGGTCAACGAACCATCAAATCGGTCCCTCCTCTGTGTGTTATATATTTATGGACCATTTTGACTGATTCGTCAGTTCGTGTGACCGCCGACCAATCATTTATTTGTGACGTGTTGTATCCACATATGTAATAATGTAATTTATTTTTAAATGAAAAAAAGAGGATTAAGATGGTGGGTCTTAGTTTCGAAGATTTGTTTAAATTTCTATTTCCTTTGAAATAACCGGGTCTGGAGGAAAGACTACGCTCTATACCCATGTTATTCCACAGGAATGAGATGGTGAGGTCTTCGTTTGAAGATTTTTTTTTTTTAAATAACCGAGTCTGAAGTAAGACTACGTTCTAATCCCATGCTTTATTACCGGGTCGCGCATATTTTTTGTATACAACTGTTTAGCCATTTTCGCGAACAAATTCCAAGAAGTGCTCTGGTGAAAGAGTCCAAGTCGTCAGCGCACTATGTGCAAGCACGTACACCCAGGGAAGGGAAAATGATAGAAAGGGGAAAACAAGGATGGTGAAGAGGATATGGAGAAGGAAAAACAAGAAAATACATAAGGAAAGAGAAGAGAATAAGTCAAAGGAAGAACATAGAAATACATAATTAAAGAGCTATAAGAGGATCATAGATCTAGACTAAGGAAAAACAGGGGCATAAAGAAGGAGAAATGAAATCTATCAGATTAAAACAAAAAAATAGATGACGAAGGGAAAAGGATAGATTGAAGGAGAAAAAAGAAATACATGACAAAAGAGAAGAGGATAGATTTAAGGAGAATACAGAAATAAATAATGAAAGAGAAGAGAGGATAGATTTAACCCGAAACAAACGATCGAGTATGTCATATGTGCAGCTCCAGCAATCCAACACTGCTAAGGGTAACGCTAAACTCTGTCTCTAGTCGTTTGCACAGTATATTTGACTGAAGTGGCTAAACAGTTGTGTAAAAAAAAATATGCGCTACTGGGTCTTAATTTGGAAGATGGAGGGGTCTTAGTTTAAAAGGTTTTTTTGTTGTTTTGTTTTGTTTTTTTGTTTGTTTTTTAACTTTTGAAAACCGGGTCTGGAGGAAAGACTACGCTCAATACTTATGTTCTTCCACAGGAATAAGATGATGGGGTCTTAGTTTTGAAGATTTTTAAAAAGTTTTGAAATAACCGGGTCTGGAAGAAAAACTACGCTCTAAACCCATGCTTTATTACCGGGTCTTAGTTTGGAAGATGGTGGGGTCTTAGTTTTGAAGATTTTTTAATTTTTTTTTAAATAACCGGGTCTGGAGCAAAGACTGCGCGCTATACCCATGCTATATTACAGGGTTTTAGTTTTAAATTCGACAAAATATCCCTTCAAATTTATTACATTTGTGGGTAAAGTCATTATTACATTTGTGGGTGATTCAAAATATCACTTCAAATTTATTACATTTGTGGGTAAAGTGGTTATTACATTTGTGGGTGAAATTATTACATTTGTGGGTAAAGTGTTATTACACTTGTGGGTGTTGTTCCATTTGTGGGTAAAGTGTTATTACATTTGTGGGCGTTGTTACATTTGTGGGAGTTATTACATTTGAGGGTGTAACACCCCCCCCCCCCCCCCAACGGAGCAAAATGTCAAATTTTCAAATTTCGAGACCAAAAAAAAAAAAAAATGACCTCTTACCCCCCCCCCCCCCCCCCCCCGCTTATTCAGCGGCTGGCTGAGTCGTTACGAAATTTTTGGCCCGATTTATAAATGTTAAACCCGCCCCCCCCCCCCCCCCCTTCAAAAAATCCTGCGTACGCGCCTGGGGCGAACTATAATATTAATTGAAAAAAGAGACATTTTCCCGAAAAATAATAGGCACTCGATAACCCTAAAATGTTTCTGGCCATTTCGTCATGCCTAATTATGAATTACTATGTGATTGTAAGATCCTGAGGACAAATACAAAGACATTCCCGCAGAAACGTCAAATGCATCATCAAGCCACGCGACAGTATTAACTTTTTTGAGGGGCGTAGCCCAGCAAGCGTGGGATCTGTGAAAATGGATGGTTATTATCATTTGTTCGCCAATATAGATATTTTCAGAAAAACCGGAGGCTGGCACATTAATAAATAGAGGTGTATTCATGTTTTGAAATGCTATGTTAGTTGGGTTAGAGTGGGCCTTTAAGTCTCGTGTGCAGTATTTATGTATTTATGAACATTTTATCATTTACTGTCATATATATGTTGCTAGATTTGGTATTTTATTGCCTTTCTACCACTCCCATTCTTTCTTGTATCTCATCCTACAGATAATTTCCATCTCATGACCCTTCGAACTAATCCCGGTTTCGCTAGTGTCTACTGCGCCGTCGACGTCGAAATCGAAGGAGAAACACTGTCTCCTGATAACGTCACGCTATCCATCGGTCAAAATCTCTCCTCATCGAAACCGATTTCCTTCTCATCGACGAGTCTTGACGGTGAATTCCGTAATAATAGTTTCCTTCTTGACGACGTGAACGAAGATGACCAAATCTTCTGCTACGCAGGTGAACTGCCAGACAAAGATGGATCATTTTCACTGGCTACTTTTTCTCCTGTATTAGATTTTTACGGTAATATTTAGTTCAAACCAATTCTCACCATATTTAAACTGATTTAGTGATTTTGTATATTAAATGTAAATAGTGAATAACAACATACACAATGAATATGCATGAACGTCATCCGAAATACCTACTTAAGAATGCAACGTATTTGGAGCTTTAATAAGTCAATTTAGAATAGGCCCTAAGATTTTTGATTACAGATTGAGTATATTTTAACTTGTTTTATTTGTTGGTTTCGTTGCTGGTGTGTTTTTCTCATAACATATAGGTACTGTACACATATTAACTTGATAGCTTTATCATTTCCAGCTTTACCAGAGCTACCATCCGGCCCAACAGTCGGAGAGATCAGCTCGTCATCATCAGTCACTGTCTCCTGGAGCTCTTGGATACCTTTTATGGACTCTGGCGACGGACCAGTTGTTGCTTACCTTATCTATCAGCAAACTATGGGAGAGGAATGGATAGTGGTTGGTAGCATCGACTCTAGTTTGGGAGATGGCGATCTTCAACGAATAATGGAATTTGTATTGACTGATTTAGAACTAGGAACAGAATACAATGTTAGTGTATCTGCCGTCAGAGAAGGTCCCGGCGGAGAAGGACCAAGAAGTCCACTTGTGACTGTTACGACTCCTACCCTTGGTGAGTCGTGATTAGATCAATATTGATTAGGATTTCGTATACAGATGTAAATAGAAGCGTCCAACCATCAGCTAAACACACATTAGTCACAGCCTCAAAATTCCTATGTCGGTTGGTGGATTTTGTGGTTAATCCTGCGTCCAATTGACATAAGCCATTGATCTAACACTATTGCCCCTACAACCGACCGAACCCTTTGTCCTGACCAAGGAGCCGGATCGAGGAGGAGGGCTGGTAGGATTTTTAAATAATTTTATCGGGTAAAAATGCCGGATCCGTCACTGATTATTGACTACGATGTTGCAATTGCTCCTACGGTTACCCTCGCCCCCTATGACAATCATGGATTTGTCCTTGATCATTGTACAGAACACCTTAATCTGATCCAAGCACTATCCTGCTCACCATTATTATGCACAGTCTAGGATCTATGACCAAGGGAACCAAAAGGACATAGGGCCACTGATATAAAATGTCTCTATGAAAATGTATAACATTCTTTGTTGTAGCAATAGGTCTATTCTGCAACTATTAATAAACTAATACATCTTCGCGATCAACGCTTATATGTTCAATGTTGCAGAGAGTCAGCACCTAAGGGAAACTACTGCTGTTTGGATGATGATTTTATTGGTGATATCACTCTTGGGGAACATCATACTTGCTATTGCCATGGTGATTGTATGGTAAGAATCAAATCATTTTAATATCTCGCATAAGAGTAATGCCCTTTTCGAAAACGTTTTGAATGCAGAATGTGGATAGTTTTTTTAATTGTCTAAATCCTAATTTTAACTACTGTAGTTTATACAACAGAGCTGTCTCCAATCTATTCCCCTTGTACAGCCTGCATTACAAAAATACATTTTGGGGTAAAAGAGTAACAAAAATCATGTTTATCATAAACCTGAATACTTGGATATTTAAGTTTTAAGTAAAGTACCATTCTTGTATTTCCTCAAAGACCTTAAAATGTGAATTTTCTTACACCTCTTTCTTTACACTGCATAGTATTTGAAAATTCCGAATATGATATTAATAGTGATGGTAATAATGTTGGTAATGACGAGGATAATGATAATGATAATGATAATGATGATTAACAACTATTTCTGTCTGTCATTTCTAAATCGACTATGCAGCAAGAGGAAGCAGAAGAAGGAGGACATTACTCGTGTACGTGTTGACCCAGGAGAGGCAGGCGATCCACAGAACCTTGATTACGAGCTGCCTCAACAGAGTGCAGTCAGGCAACATGCCTACCAGGGCCTCAAAGGAACGGGGATCGACAACATCCAAGAAGGGGTTTACGATGACATCGCTGATCCAGAGAAATTGGAATACGTCAATATTTCATCTCAAGTTCGAAAGAAGTTATTCCCGTTGAACGTAAGGCGTCATGTAGAGACCCCGGACTGCGTCAACGACACGCGTGACCTTTAACATGCAATAAGTGACATCGCACAAGGAATGGATGTAGAGCTATATCACATTGGGCTGCAAAAGCTTGCAACTTGTTTCAGACACAACATTTAGAGATGATACTAGAATTAGCAACAATTTTTACTTGGAATCACACTAAATTGGTACTTACGACACAGTATGTCGCACGAACTCCCCACAACATTTGGGTAAAAAATTTGCCTCGAGTTCGCAAACTGCATTTCCATAATTTTATTAAACTAATTTATTTTCACTGGCTACCTGCCGTAGCAACAAACAACAAACTCCATTTCGTTGACGATCAGCCATGCATGAAGTATTTCGTCTTCTTTGTTGTTAGGGCAGACAGCCAGTGGAACGGATTCTTTTAATAAATTATGGAAATGCAAGCATTGCTTTAAACAAATAGAACCTTATTACTTCTCGCTCATTTTTTCCTGATTGAGGTGTCATATAAAAAGGCAGAAAATGAACTTTCTAGAAATGGGATTTGTCCTTGAAATTAAGATACCATTCGCCAAATGATTTTTTGGTACACTTTCTTTAAATTGCTTTTAATCACTCATGCGTGAAATATGTATCATATGAGTTGCTTTACAAAATATGTGTCATTTATTAATCAAACATGTAATTGTGATTAAGTTACGATAAAACATGGATAATTCTCAGTTTCTTTTTTCTGGGACGCACTGTATATTCATTCATGCGCAGAGTGTTATACGTGGATGTATACGCGGATCCAGCCGGCGGCAAGATAGGGGGTCACAAAAAGGGGCACTTCGTGCGTAAATGTGAAAATCGCGCCGGCCGATTTTTGCTCGGGGGGGGGGGGAGAAGGGGGAGGGGTAGTGAGCACTAATTTGTTTGGTTTTGCTCAATTGGGAGGACAATGCTACTTTTTTTTTTACTCAACATCCGCCCCCCCCCCCCCTTGAGCGCCAAGAGAGGGGGCCCATCTTCTTTTTTTTGTTTAAAAAAGGGTGTTTTTACTTGTTTTTTGCCAGGGGGTCCGGCCCCCTTCCTGGATCCGCCATTGTGATGTATCCCCACCCCCATGCTTATGATAGTTGGCCTCTGCATTTATCTTGATTCTTTGACTTTCCTCCATACTCAATTATACATGTATATAAGCATTCTTTTTATTGGAGGGGGGTATATTTCATTCGTTACTTTTTATGTAATTCAATTATATTATATACTGTTATTGTTTTTTGAATATTTTGTATTTGATTTTTCAATAAATGTAGAAACATGTGCTAAAAAAAATATGTATCATGGTTTAATTTAACGTGTGCGTGCGTGCGTGTGTGTGAGGAGAGTAAACAGGAATTCAATTTCCTAAAAATCCCGCATGCCCCCATATTTATCAATGGAGGATGTTTATAATAGCGATACGCGAATATCGTTGATATATTTTGAGAGGATGGGAAAGCGTGTGTGTTTGTTATTATAGTGGTGAGAAGACATTAGCCCCTGAACACTGGCGTATTGATAAGGGGAGGGTAGATGCACCCCAAATAAAATTCAAACGTGGTTTATTTCTTATTCGATACCAGTAATTTACAAATGTTGCTGAAATGACACGATTTTCCGGGACTTTTTTTCTATTTCTTTTGTAAAACATTCTTTTGTATGCGTTTGTTGAAAAATTACAAATTCCTATATTCATAGTCAGGCAAAACTTATGCTGAATAAATTGAAATTGAAATTGAAATTGAAAATGAAAGAAAGAGAGAAAGGATGAGTGACCTGCTAGTGTCACCAGGCGCGGATCCCGGCTTTCTAAGGTGTGGGAGCCCAAATTTGAAATTTAGTGTGCTGAAATATGAAAATCGTGCCGGCCAATATTTTGCTCATGGGGGGGGGGGGGGGGGGGGGGGGGGGGGGGGAGGGGGGGGGGGTAATGAGCACTATTCTTTTTTTGGTCCTCGAAAATTTGAAAAATTGCCTAAGCGCCATGGGGGGACCCATCTAAAAAAAAACGATAAAATTAGCGTAACAAAATGTACAAATACACATTTTTTTTCCAAGGGGGGGGGGGCCGGGCCCCCACTCCTGGATCCGCCACTGAGTGTCACAAATGAGGTATCAAAATATGCTCATCTGACCATAATCAAATGCCTCAAAGCCCCGAGCTAACGGGGGGCTCCACCCCTGGATGCTCATCTGACCGTAATTAAAAACCTAAAACTGATGAGCTTCCGAGGGCTCTACCCCCTGGACCCCACCAATTAAGGGTCCTAGCCTAGGACGGGCTCCTAAATGCTCATCTGTCCATGATTAAATGCCTTAAACCCTTGAGCTTTATGGGGCTCAGCTCCCTGAACACCACGCCAATTATTGACCCGCCATTGTCACAAATACGGTATCTAAATATGCTTATCTGATCGTAATTTAATTACAAAAACCTCTGAGCTTCGCTGGCTTCATTCTACCTGATCGTTAATACTCCACTTTGAAAAACGTTTCGCGGGCCTGCATGTAACATGTAAGAGTGGTGGTGTTGCAAATTTTTCTTCTGCCCCCAAACGTTTTTGCTCATTACGCCACTGCCCCCTGAATGGTGAGGCGCCGGAATATTCCCCCCCCCCCCCCAAAAAAAAAGGAGAATTTTTTTGTTATAATAATAATAATAATAAGAATAAAAGTTATTAAAAAAATGCCTCAAACTGCTTCCAGCAAGCCTGGGTGTCGCCGTAGTCTAGTGTATACGTCATCGGACTGAGGCAGGGGCGGCCGAGCGACATCCAAAGTGGGGGGCACCAAGAAAAAGGGCACTTTCTGGATAAAAATAAAAGGGCACCTACAAAGGGAAATCTCAAAGCGAAAATATACAATTTTTTAGACATTGGTATACCCCTACATTGTAATTACAATTATCAGGGATGATTTCAATATTTGTTTCACTTTATACACCATACAAGATATTGCTTAAACATCATGCTTTGCAGTTGGGTCTGATTGTCTAAAAAATAGTTTGCGAGCGAGGAAAAAAATTTAAGATGTATGAGATCACAGTGCGAAAAACTTCATCTTATAAAGAGGAAAAACCCAACCCTAACGGGGTATAAGCACAATCTCATAACGGAAGACTGAAAAAACATTGATAAGTAACATAAGTATATCATCTATAGATGCGTGCGAGCGTAGCGAGTGAGCTTTGGGATAAATTGCTTTAAGTCGCTTGAAATTAGCTAGGGCGCGTTTAATAATGAGAGGACTAGGGGACACTTATCAGGAAAGAAAAGGAGCATGTGCCAAAATACAAAGAGTAATTATCAGAGGTGAAAATGGGGCAATTCTTACACCTTCAAAAAGAGGCACTCACCAGGGATTTTTAAAAAAAAGTCAGTCAGGAGAATAGGAAATGGGCATTTGTCGACGGAAAAGGGGCCCCGATCAGATTTTAATAGGGGCATTTATAAGATATTATTGTATATTGTTAAAAAGGGAAATTATCAGAGGTGAAAAGAGGCACGTATTGCACCTGAAAAAGGGCAATGACCAGATATGAAAAGGGGCACTTATGTGAATGAAAAAGAGGCACTTGTAATAAATGAAAATGTTATTAGTTAAAAGAAAATTGGCACTTATGGGAAGGGGCTCTTTTTTAATGGGGCACTTTTCATTAGGAAAAGGGGCACTTATCAGAAAAGAAAAAGGGCACAAATATAAGGTGAGCTTTTCCGAGTTAAAAGGGGGGTAGTTATTAAAAGGGGAAGGGGCACTTGTGAAAGTAAAAGAGGCACGTACCTCTCAGATTTAAATAGGACAATTATCAGAGGTGAAGGGGACTTATCAAAATTGAAAAAAGGCACGTCTCGTACCTAACTAGGGGCACTTACTAGAGATTAAGAAGGCACTTATGAGAATGGAAAATAGACACTTGTTGCAAAGGAAAATGGGAACTTGTCGAAGGAAAAGGGGCACGTGTCCAAATAAAAGGGGCACTTATCAGTGTTAAAAAGGGGAAGGGGCGCTTCTACACATTAACAGGGGCACTTTTCAAATTAAAAGGGGCACTATTCCTATTTAAAAAGGGGCACTTTTTAAAAAGTTAAAAGGGCGCTTTTCCTATGTAAAAAGGGGCACTTTTCGGGTGCTTGAAAAAGTGGGGGCACTTCCCCCCCCCCTTGCCCCCCCCCCTCCCGGAGGGCCGCCTCTGGACTGAGGATTACATAGTTGGCGGTTCGAGTCTCGCTACGGCCCCAATGTCCTTAGGCAAGACACTTATCTACATGTGCAACTCTCCACGAAGGTGAGGTTAATGGGTTCCTGGCAGGAATTCATTCCCCGAAATGCTAGCTAGAGTACAATTACGACAGCCGTGCTAAAGCCGGGGTCAAAATTGTGGAGCGCCAGGAGTGTCAAGTCTGACAAAACAAGAGCGCTACACAAGAACCCACTAGTAGTAGTTGGTTGCTCCCAGCCAACGCTCAAAATACACGGGGGCGGTGGGCGATTCGCCCCCGTGAGCTCCACAATCGCCCCCGTCAGATGGTTCACGGGGGCGATTGCAAAATTAAAAATCGCCCCCGTGGAATTATAAAATAAAGATTATTTTTTCTGATATAACTTTAACACAATATTGAGTATCAATGTTCAAACGTTAAACCAATAAAATGGAACTAATTAGATGGCGCTTTCTCTCCCATCTCTATGAGTATTACCGATACAAACAACAGAGCTCGCAGTGCAGCTGTAGTGCGGCCGTCAGCAGCGACTATACTGGGCCGGTAGTACCGGTGTGCACGCTGACGCCCAATATCTGCTGGAGCTGGAGACGATCGCGCAAGGACTGAAACATGGAGAAGTTTTTCGTTGTGAAAAGTGTGAATCCTCTGAAATCTGGATATTCTAAAAGATCAGCAAATAATGTAACTCGACCAGTAAATCAATATTGAAAAGAAGATCAGCAAAGATGTTGCAGGGGCGGATCTAGGCGGTTAAGGGGGTTCAACCACCACCCCCCCCCCCCCCCTCCCCCTTGGGCTGCCAAGTGAAAATGTGATGTGCATAGAAAAATGCTATCATGTGTCATTGTGTCCAGACCAACACAGTATTAGTAGATGTCAGTAGATGCCGGGAAAACATCACTAACGGGGGTTCAAAATAGCGCACAAAAAAAATCGCCTCGCCGCTTCGCGGCTCGTCGACGATGCTCCGCATGTTAGTAGATGTCAGGAAAACATCACTTACGGGGGTTCAAAATAGCAGCAACAAAAATCGCCTCGCCGCTACGCGGCTCGTGGACGATGCTCCACATCGTATTTGGGTTACCCCCCCCCCCACCCTTAGCAAAAAGCTAGATCCGCCCCTATGTTTTGGAAGGATATGGTAAAAACTAAAAGTAAAGAAAGAATGTAAATAAGGTTGCTCCAAATAATGAGGAGGACATTATGTGCAGAGCGGGAAGAAATGGAGAGAATGTCATCACGGAGATAAAAGTCAATAACAGCTATGTAACAAGTAAATTTTCTAAGAGGGAAAATGCCGACTAAATGATAATGATAAAATACCAAGGAATTTAGGAGTTTCATGGGTACCAATTTAATGAA